ATGTCAGGTACAACATGAGATAATTTACTAAATTTTCAATGTGGCCATGGTGCCAGAATGAGAATTCTTACATATTCGAAAGTTGCTTGGTTGCTCTACCTCATTTTTACAAACTCTTATTATCCATTCCGATTGAAGTTGATATAATAGTGCAGATTATATAACTTTACACAAGTCTTGTCTTTATGATCTATCGCGTAAAATTGCTCGATGTCTATCGCTACGGAAAGAATAACGTATATGATAGATTCAGCCTTGATCGTAGAAAAACGTATAAAAAAATAATCAAGCTTTTATAATCGTTGGATATGTATTATTTTGAATGATGACTAATGGATTGTAAAATAATTTACTTTGCACAACGATTGTGGCGATCGTTATGAAATTATTATCACGTAACTGAAAACTAAATTGATATTTTTTTCAAAGTAGTGAAACATGATTGCTATAAAAATATATTTTATACGACACAGAAAATTTATCCGCAATAGTAATAAAAAATAATAAAAAAAACAATACAATGTAAATAAATAATTATTGGATAGAAATAAAAATAAAAAGTTATTGGATAGTTTATGGAAGTATGTATATATATATATATGCATACGTCTATTGATGTTGAGCTATTTATATGATATGCATATATATGATTTTAACACGCCTCAGACATAAATGATGATAATATCCAAATCTTGTTAATTAGTGATAGTAAATAACATGTTCACATAAATAATGACATATGTATTTACTATAGAGAGAATATACTAATTATAATTATAATATTCATAGCTCTGAAATACAAATTATTTTGAAATATGCAATTATATGCATTGAATCGTGAGAATCAAATAACAATAAAGCCGTGTCGTAAATGACATTTAATCATTGATAAAAGTGTTAACACTTGATTTATCTTCTCTCATGAAATGAAGGGAGGGAGTGACTCGTCTTACTCATACCGGAAATATCAATGTCGATCATATGATATTGTGCGAGTTATGAATCATCTGCAATAGCTATTATAAAAGTATTCTTTATGGACAGAATGATTCGGAGCGATATAAAGATATAAAGACATCCATTTCACTTGTCTCAAAAGTAGTATTCATTCATCTATTCATTTCGGAAAACGTGAGAAGCGTAAAATGATTTGTCATGAAAAATTATATAAAACACGTTATCAACAAAACTGAAAATTATGTATTTTGCTTATCCTATATAATTACGATGTAATTAAAATAGTAAAAATCTCCGATAACACATTACAATTTAAAATTATTACAATAGTAATTAATGTTATATAAAATCAACTAAAAGAATTAAAATCTTAGAATAAACGCAAAGCAATGTAATCATTTTTTGATAACAAAATTTATAATTGTTCCTTTCTTTCTGAAGATAATACTTATTCTAGACTTTTTGTCAGCAAAAAATAATTGTTATTTTATATTATAACTTTATATGTATAATATCTATTATAAATATATGAAATTTATTAAGTATTTAATTGCAATAAAATATTTTTGTTTCATCATTTATTCGACAATAATAAATATTATTTTGCTTTGATAAAAGCTATCATAAATATATAATATGTTATATGAGCTACTTAAATTACGTAATTACATAGATAATCAAAATTCTGGAATATTAACATTTAAGAGACGTTATTTAAAAAGACAATTTGATGAGTTAATCACGATAGATGATATCACTCATATTATCGAAAAAGGTAAATAAAACCGTCATCGCGCTATACATCGTAAGATATAAGATATATGATCTATGATTACTGAATTATTCTTAGCACACACACACACACACACACACACACACACTACATAGATTTCTGTAGGTCATTCAGAAAATGCGTACCTATAAGTATGAATCATAGTTTTACTATACAATCGCACGTGTTTCGTTATATAACAGAATTCTCTCACCGCTCAAAATGATATAATTCATTTTTTATCACACTTACGAAATTATCACTTCACACGTGCGCACGCACGAAAGTGAATCGACAGGTTTTTAAAACTTGTTATATTCAATGCATACTTTTTGTACGTTTTATATAATTATTTCCGAGTTCTTTTATACTTTGTGAATGAAATACAATGTCGTCAATTAAAACAAAAAGTTTAGTTAATAATTATAGCTTATATAATGTTGCAATGCATACATACATATATCTGTCAAAGATTTTATCTTGAGTGCGTATCCCATGATCGTGAATTCCTCAGCGACAGTATAATCAACGTTTGTCCCTGGATCCCACACGTGATAATTCGCGTAATGCACGGCCCCGACTTCTTTTCGCCGACGATTACGTAAGCGTGAATCGTTTTCGAGACGACGAAAACGCACACGGTCGTAATTGCAAGCAGCATTGCTCGCACGGTAAGAAAACATTTTCTGTTCGTATATACGTATGCCGGTGGTCTTAATGATAATGACCTGCGTATCGCGCCATGAGAGCGCCGTTATCATCACGGCGATTGTGTGCATGTACACAATCGCTCTGTAACAGCTTCAACCTCTTTTTCCAACCTTGCTTCCTTCTAACAAGACGTGTATTGCGTTGCAATTGCATAATAACGTTGCTAAATTAAAAGGTACTTTTTGCTAAAAATATATTACACTCTTTTTTCATATTTAAATTGAAACTAAAATTAGCGTTGACCTAATATAATCAAATATAAAATCAAACATTTCTTAATATAAAAATTGCATTAAAAGCCAACATATACGCACATAAAATAATGTATTTTTAAATTATTATAATTAGAAGATGTATATTTCACATATATTCTTTTAATGCGTTTACTTCTGCAAAACATATCTATGTTGAACTTTTTCTTTCGAAATACGGGTAGTATTCTGTCTGGTCGCTTTAACGAGGCTTGAATGCACATGGTAGTGCCACATAGCGTTGGTTGGAAAAATGTGTGTCAGTTTGCATATATCTCATGGTATGCGCAGCGTTGCATGCATACCGCATGCAGCTGCATCTCGCGTGCACATGTACCAAACAATCATACTATCGCAAACTATCGTGTCTTATCGTGTGGTGGTTGACACGTGCGAGCTAAGATTAAGTTCTAGATGTTTTTTTACAGCTCTCACAGGGAAACACACCTGGGATGCTATTGTTATTTCGCTGCGCAATTCTCTCTCGAGTGGCCACATTATATATAAACCAATAATATTCCTCTGCAATAGATTTGCAAATACAAGCGTGCATTAATGATATATACGCATGGATATTAATTAAGAGAATCCTATTAGATTATCTATTGCATTAATGAACACAATTCGACATTATATATGAATAATTGATGAACGAGTATTTAAAGAAAGATGCATCATGTTTATCATTGAGATTCGCAACATCGATTCGAATATGTTACGCAGCCTATATATATGTCACGAGTGCATGAAATATTTCCATCGGCGTTCTCGCGTGCAATTTTGTTTTACTCTGTACTTTGATTGGTATTTGTCGACGCTAGGAATGCCACGCATGTACGTACGCGTGTAAGCTATGTGTATTAGGAATTTCAATGTTATACTATCGCAATCATCTTTCAAACACAACGAATAACCGTATGTATATTTGTATTTGGCTGCTCTGTTACAGTGTGACTCACTTAAGAGCATATGATAAACGTTGTTGATTGCAAAACAGTTTAGAAGATTTATACTTGAGCAACAAACGCATCCTCGTCACGGAAAAATTATTTTATTGCAAAAAAAATATATCTTTTAATTTTCTCTTTATCAAGAATTTTGCGTGTAAAGTATATCTTAATACGTGTTTGTATATGTGTGTAGCATGTAGTAATTACGAGTTGTAATTCATCCCGATGTATAGCCTGCGGCGAAATATTAACAGGCAAAGTAAGAGTAACGCGCTTGAAATACATTAAATCGCACTCATACATAACGGGATAATATCATTTCTCGTTATAAAAATTCGAAGCAGTTAACTCGCGCTTATAAACGCAATCTAAGTCTGTACGTGTGCGCGTGAATATTATACCTGCCTATACACGATTTCCTATAATCGAAGTACGTGACTGTCAGCATAACCGGTCACTTCGGATCTATTACGTACATATTCGCGATGCACAAAGGAATTTCTTTTCACATCGCTGCGTTACGCGAACGAAGAGAACTCGGGAAGAATAAAAAAGGCCCCATTAAAAAGTGCTTGGAATTAAATCTGAATCTGGCGAATGGTCCTTAAATATATCGTCGTTTATCGTGCGAACGAAAACGGCCGGACGAATATCCGTGGGTCATCGTTAATAATAAACGTACGTGGGATTGTGTGTGCCTAACAGCTCGACAGAGTCCTTATTTTAGGTTTCACCAACTTTTTTCTGCGCCGGACAGATAACGAGGTCCGGTATTCTCGCGCACCCAGTACCATCTTCGACGGAGCCCGGAGAAGCCACGGTACATAAGGCCGTTTTGCCTTGCTGCGGGCGAACCACAAATTATCGGCTATACACGCGACGTGCGTGCGCCGCGACCTCGCGCAGCGCACGAATTTTTGCGTCGTACAAGCGAATCTCACACGCGATATTACGCCGCGGTATACCTCCCTACGTCAATAACGACATTAACATTCACGCCGAAATAATAATTTACCCAGCGAAAATTGGCGGTGTATAGATGTCGATAATAATGATGTACGCTGTTCCGAATGTAACGTCCTTACTGCACCCCGGATACGCTTGGGAACGACACGCGGCTCATCCGATAAAACGCGAAGGGTCAAAGGACTCCAGGGACAAAGGATCGAGAAGTAGCGCAAGACGCAGAAAATTGTGCATTTTTTTGAACGAAAACAACTCAATGCGCACACAACGAGGAAACGCGAAGCGAATTATGAAATGTGTCGTTTGCTTTGTCGTGCGAGAAAAATATTGTAATTCTTTTCTCTGCCATCTCTCTTTCTCCCTCCTCGACCCTGTTGCGGTTGCACCGCGTGACTGTGCGTACGTACCGTCTAAGATTACTCACCGGATGCTACGTGCGCCGCTCGACACCGCCGATTGCGCAATTGCATCGTTCAGCGCATATATTGTACGTGCAACGAAGTATACACTCTCGCTCGAATAGTCATTGTCGTCGTCGTCGTCGTCGTCGTCAACCATCATCACTGTCGTTGTCGACGTTGTTGTCGCGAGTTCTCGCGATCGTGACTCAATCGCAAAGGCATGTATGGCTAATTGGTCGTTTGCATGAGAAAAAGCGGTTTCCGGTGGTGCCACACGGCCGTGCGAATCGAATCCAGTACTCGGTGAATGGAGACTAGCAAGGCCTTCCTCCGATGGTATTAATATGCAATCATTTGTCAGACATCTTGAGAAATTAAGAAAGATAACGCGGCATGGGTGCTCGCTGCAAGAGACACGACGCGGAATTGCAGTGCCTTTCGTGTGCAATTTATGAACGCTTCGATGGCACTCTACAAATCGAAACGATGCTGCGTAGAAATCTATTTTACAATTTTATAATTTTACAATTTTAAAAGTTATTTTCAATTTAAAGTATTTATTAGAGGGATTAAATTAAAAATTATGATATGCGATAATTTTTAATAACGCAAAAAACTGCAACAATTAATATGAAATTAATTTTTTGTCGAGACTCAAAAGTATATAGAAAGAAGAAAATGTCATATGCTTAGATATTAGATTCTTCTATCCAGCTATGATGTATAGAACGGATATTAAATGTTTGAAGGTTGTTCAATTTCATGGATGTTGACTATTCAAAAATATTGATTTGGCTTGATTGAAATAAAAGTACGGTATACTTTATAATTTACAGAATTATAACAATTAAAAACCTTTTTAAGATATTAAATATAATAATAAAAATTACTTAAAAATTAATAATAAAAAAATGACAATATTTTAATATAAGTTGTGCAAAAATATTATCACATCTTTGTCAACAAAACCGATTATCCTATAATATAATCTTTGTGATACTGTCAACAAATTCTAAACTAAAAGCTTCAGCAGTAATTTTAATTAAAAGTGTGTTACATTTGCGAAAATTCAATTAGATGAAAATAATCTTAACAATTTTAGCAATCTCGTAGTTTTACGCGTATACATATTACACATTAAACGCGCAATCAAGATAGCGTTAAATAGCGCGCGTACCATTGAAAATGTTTCCACTAGCGCTCATGCGTGGACGACCTCGTGCGAGATTCCGTGTTCTAAGTTACACAACGTGAGATGGAAGCAGAGAGACGTAGGAAGTGGATAAAAGTGAGTCCGAATATATAAAGTTTCGATACACACACGATACACGGGCTCTGGTAAAGGTCACGGACGTGAATTTCGAAATACGCTAATCGCTTCCGCGATTATTCCATTATGGCTGGAGTGTAGGCGAATGCTTGAGCGTATCGGAAATTGCAACAGGCATCGATTAACGTGCATGTCTTATTGCTTGCATTCTTTCAAGTTTATCGAGAAATATCATCTTTCATCAATGTCCAGCTATTTTTAGTAGGTAATTCTGTTGTTGTATGTTTTTTATTATTAAATTTACAAATTAAAAAATAATGTATAATACGTATAAATGTAGATTTTTAGATAGAAACATCATTCTGTAACAATTAAATTTTCAAGGAAAAGTTTTTTTACTCCTATTATCATCGTTCATTCAAGTCAATAATTGGAACTCGTAACATTTCGAAAATGTAATTTCCTATGTTGCAAATATGGCTATTATATGTCACAGTTTTATTCTCATGAATAAACATAAAAACTATTTCTATATGTGTGTCACTGAAGCATGAGTTCATCAAAATTACCGGTTACAACACCTGACCTAAGATTGCTTACTCCAAGGTTTTCAACTGACTAACTGTATGTATGCATGTTTTATCTCGCCATTCAGTCAAAGCTGCTTTCACGAATCACTCAAGCTCTATATAAAAAAAACTTCTCTTGTATTCGTCGGGTTTATTGTGCCCGTTTCATATTCACAGCGTTATTATGTGACTAACATGCACTGCCGCGACTTTCACGCATGAAATAATCACGAAGTCAAGCGACGCCTTGGTTGCGCAAACAGATACAATCTAGCACGTGACGTTCCGAATTCACCAGGAGCACGTATAGAGGGACTGAGAGAGCGAAGGAAGTCAAGTGATCTGAGCGCATATACAAGAAGAACGATGAATTCGGAGCAGCCGAATCGCGCGAGGACGTAAGTACGAGTTGGTATAGTCGTTGCAGAGAATTGTGCAGAGTCGACGGTTGCAAAACAGGAAAACACGTTACGCGTATGACGCTAATGTGATTTGCGGAACGCGGTAGATGGAGGAGAAGTGAAAGGGGGCCAGAGAGACGTACCGAGGGAATCAGGTAGCACGACGGAGAAACGAGACGGCGAATTCGCGCCATTGTGTCGTCCTGTTTACGTCTGAGAGAAACGTCTCTCAGCAAAAAAAAGACGCGAGCGTAGGTGATCTCGACGCAACGTCCGAATTTTCCAGCCGACTACTCCATCAAAGACGCCACATTGTCTTCAAGAGACGCAGCGGTACAGAAATAGCGCACAAGAGAGACAGCAGATTGTGCAATCGCAACTTTTGCTGTGTTTCATTATACATGCTACTTTTTTATATTTAATTACTATGGAAAGCAATATATAGAAAAATATTAAAATTTAATAAACATGAAATTATGCTTCATCGTATTGATATCTTTCTACTAAACTTTCTCGGTTTTTAAAAATCAGAAATATCAATACTGTTTGATTATATATAATAAATGAGCAAACAAGCAGCAACATATCTAAATATGTAATTAATGGCAGTTAATATAAATAAAATGCTAAATATCTTAAAGAATAAAAGATACCCGAGACTTATGCTTGATGAAAGATTTATTCACAGTCTTTATTCAACGCTTCAAACGCGCTAACTCTTTCTATTCAGTATTACCTTTCAAATGTCGATATCTAGCCAGTATTATAAATAAATCATCGTATCGATATGAATAGTAATTTATTGATACTTTATCTTCAGTATCTTGGGTGGGTATCAAAATAGGTATCTCTAATATAAGGCTTCCTTACGTAGATGCGGACCGCCAGTGCAGTGCAAACCGTGTGCGCACGTGCGAGCGCTACGTTTTCGTTGTGTCTGTGTTATGCACATTTACGTACGTTTGTGTGTGTGTGTTCAGTTCGCGTATGCACGAGAGTCGACATTAACCGACGACCGTTTCGATATACACGGCACGTACCGGCGATGTATCGCCTGATCGTGTTCCCAACGCGACGAGAAAACTTTTCACAGCCCCGGAGCCCGCGTGTTCAGTCGTCCTCTACCGAAAACGCTAGACGAAGCGTTAGCGTATAAGTACGTAACGGAATCTCGTGTTTTTCATCGGGATGCCCCGAGATTCCCCGGGTCTCTCTCTCCCCGCAGATATCCCGAGGGATTAGGAAAGTTTCGCCCGTTCATGCGGTTACTATCGAAAAGGCCTCGAGGAAAAGTACGAGGAGCAAAAACACAAATAAAAAGACACATCGAAATCAACTTTTGTGTGTTTTTGTTGAAATATCATATTTTGACGTTTCCAACTTTTATCTGCATCTTGCATGGTGCCTTGAATTTATGCTTACGATGTAAATTATGCTGTAATAATTTAAAAAAGTTAAAGAATGATATTTTTATAAATAATTGCAAAAGAAAGATTCTTCTCATACATAATTTAATTAAGAAGTCTAAAATAAATATTTTGCAATCAAGAGCGCGAAAGAAAAATCGTTCTTCGTTAAATATGCGGTGGAATTTTAATTTTGGGGAGATAAAATTTCTTAATCTATTTTTAAAGATTTCTTTAAAATATTAAAAAGTCTGCTTTCCTCTCTTACAAATTGAAATCAGTTTTCGTGGAATTGACTTTATAAAAAATCGCAAGAGTGCCCGACAATTCGGAGTGCACTCAACGTATCGTGCATGAAGCACCTATCCGCACCAATGCTTAATTAACGCCGTTAACATGGACATCGCATACATCCGAGGTGATTTTTAAATCTATCCTGCTGTCGTATCCAACCAGCAACAATTTTCATGCAAAATTTAAACACGAATTTACGCGAATATAAACAGTTGCGATTAGATTTAACTTGCAAGTGTACCGCGCGCTTCGCTTTTCGCGCAAACTCGTGCAAATTTCAATTACGTCTGTCTAATTTTTTTCTTCCTTTATGCTCACATTGTGAAAAAAATATCACATCGATAAGATTCGACGTGTGTACAATATTTTGTCGGAGGTCAGTCGTGGTAGAGCGGGAGGCTCGAAACGCGGTTTCCATTAATAAAACCGTTGAAAGTACACTTCTCTCCTCCTTGCGAAGGTGATAACGATCGCTCGTATATTCCGGCCGCGATGAAAAATGGACGAGAGTGCAGACTGGTGCGTCTCGAAGCGGCCTCGGGAGGATTTGCGGGGGTGGAATCCAGCCGGCTCTCTTCGCGCGACGAAATACGAGACGGGAGTGCGGAATCTGCCGGAACCGGAAAGCGTGTCATCGTCTGCATATCAACGAACAGCGGCGCACCGCGAGGCGCGGGAAACGCGCGAGGGATGCGCTTTAATAGTGGCGCATTTCCAAGCAGCCGTGTCTACGATGTATTTGTGTACGTATATATGCGCGCGTGCACACAAAAACACCTGGGGACTCCTTCCTGCGATGCATCAGGAAGACGAAGAAGCCCCGGCCGACAATCGCTCCGCTTCACGCTTCACTGGAGAGAGAGCGCGCGCCTTTTTTCACTTAACATGCAAGGTGTTCTTTGACGCGCGAAAGGTTGTCGATTCCTTCCGATGTTCTCTTTGGCGACGTGGCGACTTAGCAATTCGAGCGTCTATTCGAAAGAACCGTTGTCGAACCTTTATCGCGTCCATAGTGTCCCGATATTACAGGTGATGCTCGACGATCGATGCTCCTCGATGCGCCGCGACATTCCCGTTTCCATTATTCCACGATCGCGTGACTCAAAGACGCGTGAATTCTTGACGCGCGCGATATCGCATGGTCCAAAGTAGCGGTATTACGTATCGACGTAGCTAATATCCCGACGATAGATGTAGTGACACATGAGGTGATTCTCTCCGGTAAGTGATAGAGGAAAGGAAGGCACGCTCGCGTGTGTTATCGCTGTGTCTTTACGGGCCACTTCAAAGTGATTGAACCACCGACGAAAGCCACGTACGTCACGATCTATTCTATCGCGCCCGAGAGAACGCGTTGGGTACATATCTATGTACAATATATAAAGTATATATATATATATATCGGACAAAGTGTGGCGAATGGGTCTCCTTCCTTGCATGAATGACGGCATGTTGATTTTTATTGGGGTTCTCTCGCTCGCGCATTTGCTCCGCGGCCCTGTTCGCGCAGAGAGTGCACTCTGTCCATTGTTAAGTAGATTTATACGATGTACCGATGACTATCGGAAACCGCATCTGCGAAGCCCTACACTTATTGCCTCTCCATCTTCTTCTCCATCCCGCTCCTTTCACGTCTCGCTCTCGTCCTTACGATTCGAGTTACGCTCTTGCATAAGCGTTTCTCGAGTAGTTCTTCTCCTTCTTTTGCTATTTTATAGCTCACATCGAACGTGAACACTTTTAGCAAATCGTTCGATTCGATTCGACACCTTTGTCCCGAGTTATTCCGTCGTCACGAAAATTTCGCACGATTACATGGAAGAATTCGCATGGAAAATAGAGAAACGTGTATGTTTTGGTCGTCAGTAGTTATGCAAATAATTTTAAAAAAAAATTAATCCATTAAATGCAATTACTATACATTCGCTTTTCGATATATTTGTGATTTTAGATACACAAATGTTAAATAATTCTATAAATAATGTTTTTAAAAAATATAATTTACAGATAAATTACTCAGGTAAAGAAATTTTAAAAATTAATTTATCAACATTACGAGAATTCTTTATATCACCATTAGCGCCGATGGAAGATTTATGGCTGCAAAGAGTAAAGAGCCGCAAGTGTATTATGACGTAGTAATTTCGGCCACTTACGATTTCTCCTGCGTACATTCGATTGCAACAAGAACTCTTCGCAGTTTTCTTCTCCCCCTGTCTCTGTCTTTCTCTTTCGCTTATTCGTTGTGATGCTGCGTTCATCGCTTGCCGATATTTCGAAAGTAAACTTTTACGAAACTTCAACCGTAGAATCTAATGAGACTTTTCGAGCTGGCGTGAGAACTTTCCTCCTCGTTTGGTCGTAATAAAGACTGATCAATAGTAAATCTTATTTTTCAGTTCGCTTTAGCTTTTCTAAACTTTCTTTAACGATCGGAAACCACGAAATTATGATGTTATAAATCTTTTTCAAAACTAATTCTTGAAATATTATTTTTTAAAAATTTAAGAAAAATAATTTAAAAAATATATATTTCGCTATAATGTACGTATTAACATAAAATTATTATTTACTGTCATTGTTAATACATCTGACAATGAGAATTGTCATACGATGTATAACCTTCACTAATCCCGTTGTCGTTTATAACGATGCGAGGAAACACAAAAACATGAGCGGACGCCGTCAAGAAATGAGGCGTTTAATTCGTTCTCGCGCTGGCACGTGCCATGTACGAGCCATTAGCTTCAATCGCGCGGGGCCCACCATTTTCTGAAAGATCCCGCCTTCCCATAAAGAAGACTACCTTTTAATCCAAATTAATGCTTTCAACGAAATTACGTGAAAACTTGTAATGCGCTTGGCCCTTTTTATATGTCCTCAGACACTTTTTCGTCGTCCCTTTTCATTTACTTGGTTATCAATAATTGTCTCGTCATCTTTTTTTATATTTTTATCAAAAATTTAAATGATTGAAAATTTGAAATTACTTTTACCCTACTTTTTTGTCATAGGCTTTAACAATTTAATAATTATATAATTAATTTGCACCGAAAAGTGAACTATTCTTGTTTGCAAAAGTGTTTAACTATGTTTAACATATATGTATATACAATAGTTAAATATATTTAACAGAATTCGCGAAAAGTTTAATGCACGTATAATATATAGACGCGACTGGAATTACGTATATGATAATACGTGTAATATGAAATAATACGTGTGCGGACATGGATTCTAAATTCTGAACAAACCACAGAATTGATTTCAATAAAATTTAAACAACATATCACGTAACTGACATAGCCAGGTTGTACGCGAGTTCGCAACTCACAAATAACACGTTGTAACAAATAGCATACAGCAAGAGTTAAACATAAACAACATTGCATAAATACGATAAAGTTATATTACATTTTTTTACAATTCGATGCTATCACATGAAGGAATTATTACGTGTTTTATAATATTTTTTCAAATATGAAAATATTTGCAATATTTGATCGTTATACAATCATCAACAAAATTGCAATAATAATCAATTTAATTCTTCGTTTTAAATTAATGATTAACAAATAATTCTGCAAACTACCAATATTGATATTTTACTACTGAAAAGAGATATTAAATTTCGTGAAAAATAAAAGAATGTTTAAAGTAAGTATACTTTTATATAATAATGCGCGTAAATTCTTTGAAATCGATCGCTAGAAAATTTTATACATTG